CCTCCTCCTCCTCCTCCTCCGCGCCTTGTTGGCATCTTCCTCAACTTGAAAAGCCCCATCTCGGCTGGGGCCGCGGCCCCCAGGGAGGGCTCACCTTGGGCTCCCCGCCGCAGGCTCCACCCGCATCCCCGCCACTCCTCGCTCATCTCAAGTCGGGCAGGTCCCTCCACAGGGGATGCTCTGGGGACGATTCTTCGTGCTGTGCTGACTAGTTTTTATTTTTGATGTTTTATTATTCCACAATCCGCCTTTTGGTTTTGTTTTTTGACTATTCTTTTGCTCTTCCACAATCCGCCTGTAGGAGGACGTGCCCGACCTAGCGCTCGTCCCGCTTTCCTCTGCGGGACCCGTTCCTCCCGCTTTCTCTCTTGCGCCCTCCCGCTTCTGCCACCCCTCGGCCTTCTGGCCCTTTGCTCACGTGCGTCCGCCCTCCTCTCGTCGGCGGCGAGCGAGGGGGGGGGGCAGTGAGCGGGAGGAGGTCCTCTCAGAAGTCGGCGGGGCTCCTCGGAAGCCCTCCGGCCCTCCGAGAAGTTCTCTCTGTGTCTTCGGGGAAGGCTCATCACCGCCCACCAAACCGCCCCAACCTATCCCGAATGTCCAGATTTGCCCTCCATTCCCAGTGGGGGGGGTCGGGGAGCGTTGAACAACGACACGTGGAACCGCACCCACCCCCCAACCCGAGAAGCGGGCGAAGTTCGGGTCTTTGGATTGGGCTGGGGTGGTCTGGTAGGCAGTCAGCTTGGAAAACTTCTCAGAGGGCCAGGGGACTTCGAGCCCTCTGAGACTCTCAGGCGATCGCAAACGTGGATCACGGGGGCGTGGATTGGCGGTGGGTCCCGTTTCCATAGGACACCGCGGATTTCCGCCGCAGAGCGAGGCGGCACCAGCCGCATTTTGGGAAGGGCACCTCCCGCGATCCATGGATTTGGCGACGGGGAAGTTCTCTCTGTGTTTTCGGGGAAGGCCTAGGAAACGTCTCAGAAGGCCAGGGGGACTTCGAGCCCTCTGAGAGTGCCCGCCCCTCCTCTCACTCCTCTTCCTCCTCCTCCTCCTCCTCCTCCTCCTCCTCCCTCCTCCTCCTCCTCCTCCTCCTTCTCCTCCTCCTCCTCCTCCTCCTCCTCCTCCTCCTCCCCCTCCTCCTCCTCCTCCTCCTCCTCCTCCTCCTCAGATCGAGGATCGAGGACGGAGGAGGTTAACGAAAATGAGGATCGAGGATCGAGGATCGAGGATCGAGGGTCGAGGAGGCTCCTGGGCTCCTCCCGCCGGGGCCCCCAGGGCCCTCAGCAGATCGAAGGTCGAGGATGGAGGGGGTGAACGAAAATGAGGATCGAGGATCGAGGATCCAGGGTCGAGGAGGCTCCTGGGCTCCTCCCGCTGGGGCCCCCGGGGCCCTCAGCAGATCGAAGGTCGAGGATGGAGGGGGTGAACGAAAATGAGGATCGAGGATCGAGGATCGAGGAGGCTCCTGGGCTCCTCCCGCTGGGGCCTCCAGGGCCCTCAGCAGATCGAGGATCGAGGATGGAGGAGGTGAGCGAAAATGAGGATCGAGGATTGATGATCGCATGCTCCGAGTTTCTTAACAAGCGTAGGGGTGGCATCACCCCCGCCGACGGCCCCACATCGACCCCCGTCGCGGGCAGCCACCGCGCGCCGAAGCCGCTCCGACCCCCGTCGCGGCGCGACGACAAGGCGAGAGCGACCCCCGTTAGGGGGGGTACCCACCCACGCTTATTAAGACACCCAAAGTATCGAGAATCGAGGATCGAGGATCGAGGAGGCGGGCCCCCGAAGCAGCAATTGTGCGCGGAGTATGCGGCCGAAGCCTTCTCCTTCTCCTCGCTCGATCCTCGATCCTTCTCGCTCCTCGATCCCCACCTCTCAGGGACGGCGACACGCCCTCCGCCGCCGACGGGTCGCCAACATTCAGCTCGCAGTCGCCATGCAGGAGCCTCGGGGAGGAGGCAGGCGCTGGTGGGTCCGCGGGCCTCTCCACGGCGGCGACCGGCAGCGTCTTTCAAGCCCCCCTCGGCGACCGGCCGGCGCGGTTTTGATTTCTCACGCCTCGGAAATTGGAACCTACGTTACCAGTGGCGGGCTGTTTTTCAGTCCCGTGACCTGTGAGAATCGGAGACGATGTCGGGGTGGTGTGGTGTATATGCTTTTCCCCTTTCTTCCTGGGGAGCCAGCGGAAACTGGATACACCAGGATTCCGTATACACCAGGATGCATTTTCCGGTGCAAGTGTCAATGCAGGATTTCTGAAGATCACCGAGCGCGTTCCATTACTCGCAAACGCCCGAAAAGCACATGCTCGCCTCGACGTAACTGATCGTAGATCCCCCGCGGCGGATCTGGGGCATTTGCGAGTAGTCACTTTTGCGACCAGTGGAACGCGCCTGTCTGGAAGAGCTGCTGTCGATCACGCACTGGCCGGCGTGCTTTTCTCTTGACTGAAGCGTGCCTCGTGGCGCTCTCGCGCCTGGTGTTTTTTTGTTCCCGCTCAGGCTGTGGCCCTGGGCTCTCCCGAACTGCTCTCGCCCAGGACCTCGCAGGTTTGGTCAGGACCTCCGCTCCGGCCCGAGACTTCCACACAGGTTGCTCAGGAATTGGCGTCACCCCAGCATACTTATACTATATGTGCGTCGCCCCCTACATGGGCGACGCGCGCACCGAGAAATCTTATAGTACATGTGTCGTGGCGGGTGCTTTCTGGCCACACCGCTCGGGAAACGATCTACTACAAGATGGGTATACTATATGTTCGGGTCGGACGCGCGCCTCCAAGGAGGACACAGTATTAATATGTCCCTGTGCGTCCCAAGGAATGGCGCTCTCGCCTGGGGCTTCCTCGTAATTCGCTCCAGAATCGCGATCTCAACGCTCAGAAGTCGCGCCTGCGCCCAGGACATCGGAGTCGCGCGCTCTCGCTCGAGAGTCTGAATCTTTCTCCGACAAGCTGTTGAGCCGAGTCGCGGTGGGCCCCAGGGGGAAGCGTGCACGCAGATTTTGCAATCAGTGCGCGTTAGGGATGCTGCTTCGACGAGGGTCGGAACCAATCGTTGCAGGGGAGAAGGGAGGAGGAGGAGGAGGAGGAGGAGGAGGAGGAGGAGGAGGAGGAGGAGGAGGAGGAGGAGGAGGAGGAGGAGGGTTTCTTGGGGACGGCCTCGGAGCGCAGATCACTGATACCTACTGGGACGGCCCTGCGGCCCGTGCCGCCGACCCTGAAGGGGGACGACGACCACGACGGCGGCCTCGGCGGCGACGACGACGCTGACGTGGTGCCTCTTGAGAGCCCGCTCGTAGGCCTCTGGCTGGCAGTTTTGGGGCCTCTTGGGAGCAACTTGCGGGCCCTTCGGGAGCCTTTCGGGGTTCCCTTCGGGTTTCGGGGGGGGCCTCTTGGGGGTCTCTTGGGGGCCTCTGGAGAACAAATCCTTTGCCCGGAGGCGCTCCTTGGCACTTTTTACGGCGGCCCTTAGCAGCTCCATGGCGCTCCTCAGCAGCTCTTACGGCGCTCATTAGTATTTTTAAGGCGCTCCGTAGCAGCTTTCAAGGCGCTCCTCAGCAGCTTTTCAGGCGCTTCTTCGCTGATTTCAAGGCACTCCCTAGCAGCTTTTAAGACGCTCCTTAGCAGTTTTTTTGAGCGCTCCTTGGCAGCTTGTGGAGCGTTACTTCGCAGCTTTTACGACATTCCCTGGCACCTTTATGGTGCTCCTCAGCAGCTTTTGAGGCGCTCCTTAGCAGCTTTTAAGCTGCTCCTTAGCAGCTTTTACGGCGCCCCGTAGCAGCTTTTAAGGCCCCCCTAGCAGCTTCTCAGGCGCTCTTTAGCAGTTCTTAGGGTCTCAGCAGATTTTGGATCGCTCTTTAGCAGTTGTGAAGTCGTCCCTTAGCGGCTTGTAGAGCGCTCCTTCGCAGATTTTCGGGCGCTCCTTAGCAGTTGTTGATGAACCCTCCTTGGCAGTTTTCGATGCGCTCCTCAGCAGCTTTTAAGGCGCTCCATAGCAGCTTTTAAGGCGCTCCCTAGCAGATTATAAGGCGCTCCGGAGCAGTTTTTTGAGGCGCTTGTTGGCAGCTTGTAAGGCGCTCTTTAGCAGCTTTGAAACGCTGCTTGACAGCTTTTAAGGCGTTCCGTAGCAGCTTTCAAGGCGGCGTTTCCTAGCCGGCGTCATGTGACGAAACCCCGGGGGGAGTTTTTTTGGCCAAAGAAGTAAAACCAAGCCGTATAGGCTCTAGCGCGCCAGGCACCCCTTGTGGTAAGCGAACGGGGGTCGGCGGATCGAATGGCCTTCGGCCCAGTCCCCCACCGTGCCCGAGATATGGGTTTTGAGGCATGTGAGTGGATACCAGGATCTGTTTGGATGCCCTTCGGGTCCTCTTGCGGGACTCTTGGGGGCCTCTTCGGATATCTTGGGGGCCTCTTCGGGTCCTCTTGGGGCCGGTCGGGGGCGCTTCGTGAGCCCCTGGGAGGCTAAGCTGGCCATGTTGGGGCGAAAAGCTCAACGTGAAAATTCGGGTTCCCCTTGTAGGAATCCCCGTGTATATGTTTCATAGACGGCGTTGTGTACGTGATGCCTACGCTGTCGATACGGGTGCGCATTATTTGTATTCGTGTGCGTTTGACCCACTCATATATGTTTGTTGTCCACGTTTCGCGGGCGTGTCGTATGCGGGGTGTGCACGTGTGGAAATGCATTTTTCGCACGTTGTGTATACATGTATATATAAGTATGCGAGACGTTTTTTTGTATTCTCATTCTTTATCTCTCCTCCTCCTTCGTATATGCTTCGTTTACGCTTCGTACCATATCTTCATGTTTGTATATGCGTGCCGTACACGTGTTGTGCACTGACCATATACGTTTCGCACACGTTCTAGATACGTCTTGGATGCGCGTTTGGTATAAGTTGTATATGAGCGTCATGGTCGTGTCGTATGCTGCGCTTGATACGTGTATGGCACGTCAAGCGAACGTTCCGTAGCGGTGCGCACACGTTCCGTAGAC